TTTCTTATTAGCTCCACGATATCACTTACATGATCAACTCCGTAATTACATAAACATACCTAGAGATTGAACAAATAACTCGGGATTAACACCTTGCATTTGCATAAACCCATGACTGACAGCCAGTTTGAGCAGTCAAAACGACTGTTTGAATCATGCTTTTCCGTCGCTTTTCCGCGGAAATAGCACTGACATCGCACCGAACTCGTAAATTAACATTGCAGTTGTATCGCGGACATATTCATATTTGTGTACGACATGAAAATAAAGCACAACAGGCGTTAAGATTGCCGAAAAGAGTGATTTTGCGGAGCACCCCCGAAGAGATGTTTCACGCTTGAGTGTCATTTGCATACTGAAAAGTGGCGGTCATCTTTCCTTTTATACACCCAGACCCGCGGTTTAAGCTTTTTAAACTGATAGCCAAGCTATCATTTTGAATCATGAAATATCATATTTGCTTTATTATAAATGCATCCCCAATAAAAACGCATGTAAAAGAACATTTGCATTTATTGTATATTAACTATTAATAAAATATGACTTTATAGGACCTTTTTCAATTAGGCTTAGTGCATATGCTAATATTAGAGCAAATATGCTATGTGTATTTTGTGAAGGACACAGAGGCAAGCATTCAAGCCATGTGCATTTATATACATAAGACTGGTAAGTCAGGAAAAGCTAGATGAAATTTAGTTCCTGATATTTTATTTTGTATACTGTCAACTGCTGTGTTTGAAGTACATAGATGTAAATGACAATATACAGAGATTCATATATCATGTTTGGATACAATTAATTAAATTTGGTATACCGGTAGTTAAAATATTACTGTAAAATACTTTATTTTCACTTTGAATTAATTTTCGTTATTTTCGCTGAAGGAATGATGCAGTGAAAATAAAATCCAGCAAATATACCTTTTTTCCTATATTTTACATTCAACTTATCAAAAATCAGTGAAAATAAATTCCATACAAAACACCCAAAAAGTCTTTTCAGCAAAAAATAATTCCAGCTAAAATAAAGTATTCCACAGTAACTTAAATTCAATTTTGTAAGATAAAAATGTCATATCAAAGTTACAATAAATCAGGTGATTGATAAAACACAATCAATTGTGAACAGATTTTCTGACATAGAAAACTGAAAGCATTAAGACTTAAGTAAAATTCACAAAGTATTTGATCAGAGGCAAGTAAATAGCAGCTGTACCATAAGATGTGAAAACATTTTAATCCTTGCATTAACTGTTTACCCATTCATGGTTTATAAATCAGATCATCAGGGGAAGGTGTATGAGGGAATTTAACACCAACATTTAAACTCAAGAATTTCCTGACATCAAATCATAAATTGTGTTCATACCACTGTTTTGAACCAATGCCAAATTTTCACCAGTAAACCAAAACAGACCTCACTTTGTGTTTCAATTATGACTTCCTCAGCTAATATTTAACCAGGTGTGTGTGTGTGTGGGGGGGGGGGGGGTTCTGACAATTTATAATAAAATATATACATCAGACAGTGAAGGTAAACCAAGAAATTAAAAATATATGTGAAAACACCCCTGAAATCATATACTTCAAAATAACTATGTTAAAAGAATTATTATATGAAATATGACTACTTATAAAAACGACAGGAGGTGTGTACACATGCCGTGTACCACGGCGTTATTCTATGGTGGCGCTTTAGCTATGGCTCGCCGTTGTTATATTCGTAGCAAGATCACCGCGGTCTATCCTCAGACTATGAAATACATTTCGCCGATTGCCGGTTAAATAAATACACATATACTTTCAGAGGACCAGTCAAACCCCCTCTCTGTTAATTTCTTTCACTACATGTGTATCTACAGTCGTCAATTTGACAGCATTATGGTTCAAAGATTTACGATCGTATTCAGGATGGATAGCTGTCATGGCGTCGAAAGCGCCGCCAGACCACGCAGAAAAAAAAAACACATACAAAAGACATACAAAAGAAACACTACAAGTATCCCGGAATCAGACTCAAATGAACCCTAGGTAGACATGAAAATACAGAGATGAACCAATATCTGTGAATTTCAGAGCGGTGTCGATATTTCAACAACGATAAATTGGTTTCAATGTGGTAAATTTTCGCTTCTGTTGTTGATGGAATAAGCTCGACTTAGCACTGTCAAAAATGTCAAACGTGAAAAAAAAATGATTTTTAAGGTGCAGATCGAAACATATTGTCAAAGATTGAAGGAAGATAACTGGAATACATACCTCTGAACCTCGGTCACATACAAGGTTTTGGGGATTTCCTCCTTTTCTGGTCTAAAAAAGATGAAATTATTTCGTCGATCAAAAATCCGTATTGTCTTCAAGATCACGAACAAACATGTAATATTTTCGATCGTTTGAGGGCGCTTTGAAAGAACTTCCCGCGTAGGCGTTGGAGGGCGCCACCTTGCTGACGCCAAGGTTTTTGCCAACAGATACTAGCGGCTGTAGAAGATATTCAAACTTCATTTACCAACTACCAGATGCAGTGAAAAAATAAATACATTTTTCTAAATGGTTTATTTCTAATTATAAATAATTTGTATTTGGTTTACGATTGAAACTGCTATCTGATTATGTTATACAAGATGACGTCATTGTAATGAAATTTTAATGACGTAACTCTTTTGTGTAGGGCAGGACTCAGTTTTACCACGGACGTCCGACACCTGAGCTTCTTCCGGGAATCCAAGCTTAGATCACAGTCTACAAACAGATCAATTTTTCCTTTTTCAAAAAGTGCTCGTCGCAAATGAATAAATGTTTCACACCATTTACACAATAGTCGTGCATATCATTAACGCTATACAGAACAAGCGACTGAGCACACAAATCGGTCAGAGAAAGTGAAAAAAAACAACGTTATGTGACGGAAAAAATTAGGGCTGCGGTCGTCGTGCAGCACTTGTTCGAATGTAAATAAATAATGTAATTCACACGCGTTGATTACATCACTATGGGTCCATATAAACAGGACGTGGTGCGACGACCACCACCCTTTAAACAAGCCCCCTATACATTTAGCTCCATGATAAAAGTTACATTCCCAATTTGTAATAACGGTATAAGCTAAATACCTCTCGCTAAGATTTGAAATCAAAAGGAGAAGTTTTTAAAATAGCTATATTGTAAACAAATTCAGAAGTTTTGAATCACCGTGCACCGAAGCAAACCTGCAATGTCATGGGCTCTGATCTCCAAATCAAACATAATTATCATGGTTGTAATTACTCAAGGATATTTGCATGCGTACTTTTTGATGTTTGCCCGAGGTTCTTAATTGTGAAGCTAAGCTTTTTTATTTTCATGTTCTAAGTTTTATTTCATGATTCAGAAAAAAATCTCATAAGCAGTAGCAGTGATGGGTTTTCTGCAGACCACGTATATTGGCAATACGTGCCAGGCGCCCAGGTGGCTAGATAACCTTTAGTGAATTTCCTGTTGTGTATTTTGACATTTTTTACACGAATTTAGAAAATAGTGGCACAGGTAAAATGGCACAGTGGCTGATTCAGTGGCTATGTCATGAAAGCACATACCAATGTGTCGGAATATCCTAGTAAATATACCATGAAATGTCCGACATTGAGGCATTTTTGGACCCTTTCAATAAACTGTATCATGGCTGGTCACAGAAACTTCGTAAGTACCGCTTATTTATTTATTTACTAATATGTTATACGTTGCAACATTCTTAGTACATCCATGGTTGCAAGCATGGAACTATGGTTTATAGTTCCATGGTCACAAGCAGCAAGAAAGCAAGCGAGTATCAAAGCCTCAGTCACAGTAGTGCAATGCAAGAGACCTTAGAAGCTTTTAGTGACTGCACTTTTGTGATCTTTGTTAATAGCCCGGAGACTGTGGAATAGCCAGATTCAGTGGATTTACTCTATGTTCGTTAGTAGGGCGACTGTCCATTGGGAAAGGTCATCACAAAGTTCAAATTACCAAGTTTAAAATGTCCACGCAAATACAGTCCCTCTCGAGGGACGCAACATATAATTCAACATCACAAAACACCGTTCATAAATTTGACAATATAAAGTACGCATTAAGTTACTAACTTAATAATATCATTTTGATAATGTTCCTTATCGTTGATTATTAAATTTTCAAATTAACAGCATTCGTCATACTACTAGTATTTCACCTCTCAGATACACTGTGTTCGCAGCATGAAGAGGTCGTTTTCCTGAATAATATATTAATATATTTCTGCCTTATGTAGTCCCGTGTTTTTCGAATGGGCTTGATGAATTTTCTCGTGCCGCGTTGTTTTTGGTGTCGTTCAATTCGCACTCCACACCGGTCATCTGACTCCTTCCGATATTCTTGTGGTTTTCCAGAGTCTCCATCTTGGCACCGTCTCTTCATTGTCATAAAATGGGTCTTTCCTCTTAATGTCATTAACGACGGCACAGAAGTAATTCGATTTTCCAACATGTAGCACGCAAGGAAGTCGCTTGTACCGATGTACAATACATGGATACAAATCACATTAAGAGAAAAAATACCTGTTTTATAAAAAAATAAAATAAAAGTTTTAAAAATTAAGTTAAAAATAACTTTACCATTATAATTGAAATTAAAAGAAGAACTGTCTTCTAAACAGATGAGTTTTCAGACTTCTATTAAAAATATCAATATTAATTGGCTGACGAATGGAGAGTGGAAATTCATTCCACAAATGGGGGGGGGGGCATATTTACTAAAAGAACGCCAACCATGTGTTTTGTGGTACATTTTGAATCTTGCCTTTTCAATAACAAAATATCAGTGTTAGATGAATTGAGGGTACTATGACCTGAGGGTACTATGACCTGAGGGTACTATGACCTGAGGTACTATGACCTGAGGTCACTATGACCCAATTCATAACGGTCAACCAAGTCATATAAATAAATTGGAGCAGAATTAATTAAAATTTTAAAGATTGTAAAAGTAAATGTATTCGTTCATGAATGCGTAATGTGGTCAGATTTTTTTTACAACTGACGAGTCTGGCTGCTGCATTTTGTACAGATTGGAGTTTGTCAAGCTAAAATTGAGGGCATCCATAAAATATAATACATGTATTAGACAAATGAATGGACTAACTCCATCGTAAAGTGCCATCGAATGACAAATTAGATGGTGAAGATGATGACATGGATGGAGTCAAACGAGATATGAACGACCTCTAAGTTATGAAATGAACCATTGTAGAACTGTGCATGTAATACTAAAACGATGTTGGAGACGATGAATTAGAATAGAGTGACCCGAGGTATCAAACGCGGCGGACAGATCGAGCATGACCAACACAACATCCCTTTTAATGTTAAGTTCATTTATTAAATTATTATGAACCTTCAATATTGCAGTTTCTGTACTGTGATTGGCCAGGTACGCTGACTGAAATTTGGTAAGTTGTTTAATGATAAATAGTCATATACCTGATCAGCTACAATACGTTCTAGTGTTTTGGATAAAAATGGAAGGTAAGAAACTGGACGGTAACTTTTGATCAAGACCGACTTTTTCAAGAAGTGGCTTGAAGGCTATTTGGAATTTTCGTGGAAGGGTACCAGAAGATAAAGATTAATTAAAAAAAGACGCGAGAAACGGGGCAATATAATAATGTTATCTTTAAGAAGCTTCGTGGGTAGAGTATCCAAAGAACAAGATTTATTTGACGATTTGTTCACGATTTTAATGTCATCATAACGTCATCAGAGGTAACTAACTCAAATGCACACACACAAAAAACAAAACGTATTCGGTGCTGATGATGGCGACTCAAATGGAGTGCAGTGCCATAGTTCTTTCCTCGAAATATAATACGAAGGCATCACATACTTGAGTTGAAGGAATGTTGGTCGCCTTCTTGGTACCAGTCAATATGTCCACAATAGTACATAGTCCTTGCATGTGTGAAACAGGCCTTTGATGTACTGAGTAAACTTAATATTAGACACTCTTTTAGTTTAAGTTACATTCTATCACTCTTGGGCCCAACTTTAGCCGTGGGAACTGTCAAGTACT